TTAAGGTTTCATTAATCATAGGAGTAGATAACAAAATTTGTAAAAGCAACGAATGAATGTTATCAAGGAAATTAATTTCCCTGGTTTAGAAAAACTGCAATTTGTATATTCTGTTTTTAAAAATGCATACAATTTTAAGGCTACAGTAGCTTTTCGAGAGCTACTGTATATGTAATTTGCTAAATCAAGACTAAATTTTTATGTTGTAATGGAAAATTCTTTAGCCTCGTTGATCTTCTTCCGTCATGATCAACGCACTTATCTTGCGTATGATTACGCATGTAAAGTCTTAGTTTTAAAAGACCTTTAAAAAAAGGCAGCTTTATCAGCTAACCTGTTACACAATTTCCAGGGAAGATTGAGAACATTATGCTACAACATCGTAACATAATTGCGTGTTATTTGCTCTAGCAACATCATATTTTAACTTATCTTTTGATATTTTTTTCCATCTTTTTCTTCTATTTTATACCTTTGCTAATCATTTTATATTTCACTAGACTACTCCTCTAGGTGTTACAAAAGTAGTGATGCAATTATTAAATCTTTTAAGCATAACACTCCAAATTCAAAAATATAGTATTCGAATTGTAAATGAAAATATTTAAACTATTAAATAATATTTTATTCTAAAATATTCGCATTTGTGTTTAGTAATTAGTATGCTTGCTTAATTGAAGAAGACGATTTACTAGGAATTTCACAACACTTGTAATACAAATAGAATAATTTTCCATGATGAAGCTTTATTTAATTGAACACTTTAATGCAATGAAAGCTTCGTTTTGTTAGAAACGAGTTTAGGTGGAGAAGCGTTTTACTATTTACCTTCGATTTGAGGCGGCTTAAATATAAATATCAAATGGAGGCTTAACTTATAAATTTTCATATTTATAAGTTTTCAAAATTCTACGTCTTCCAAAATCTAAATTTTCAAATTCTTTAAGACTCGATCCTCAAATTTCTAATTTCCTGCATTTAAAAATTTTTTTTTTACATTTTCAAATTTCTTAGTTTGTACCCTTCTACATTTTTAAATTTCTGCATTTCTACATTTCTACACTTTCCCCAATTGCTAAAATTGCAGATTTTTACACTTTCAAGTTTTTCAGCTTCCACGTACAAAAAATTCCAAATATCGAAGTACCAACTTCCTACCACAGAACTAAATTATAAGTTTGTCCCCAATCTGCATCGCTAGCGAAGGCCAAATATCTCAGCGGTCATATACGGCGTTTATCTCTTTGGCAAATGCACGGCTCAATAAAATTAAGTATTCAAATGGTCAGAAATAAAAGGGTACATTTCGCGAAAATATACGTTCCGTTCATAAAGCGCACAGTACGAGTAATCGTGAACGGAATTTATCATTGCGAGCTTAATGATCCCGTATTTCACCCTCTAATTATATCCGACATCCGGAATTGATGAACTATGCACCATTAAATGCCGCGTGTTCAGCGAAACGCTGATCCAGTCTTATTTACAATCGTTAAAGTGAAAAATTAAAAAGCGACCGGTCGATTCGTGGAATTATTTATGCCGACGCGCTGATTTATCTTAATTATTTATCTTAATTGCTCGCAACCAAGCTGTCCTCCGAGACGTTACAAGGAACGAGACGCGGATCGTCTGTTCAAGAGCGATTAATATCGAATGATGGTCGAAAGCAACGTATTCAGGTCAGATACGAGCAAGTTTGACAGCCATCAACGCGATTAACATTTGCGGGAATTTGTTTGTCGTGTGAAAGTCGCTGTTATCGTCGTGGACACGATGTTACGAAATTTATATTCGGACCGATAACATGACAGGCGAACATTATCATTGTTGAATCACTTTTTGAGAATGATTAATTAGTACCTGGCTAACAAATCTATTGTTGGTTGGATTATAAAAATGTAATACGAAAGGAATAAAAGACAATTTCAGAATAAATGCTTTAACAATGCTCGGTTCTTTCATAGGTGATTCGGCTAACAGATGAACTGTTTATTTTGAAAGTGGGGCAAGTCAATTTCTTGTTATTGCGGAATATTTAAGGGATTGCATTTTAACCCCTTCCCTTACCATTTATTTAACAGATGCGTCAGTCAAGACTAACTATTCAAGGCTATAACATTAAAACGAACAAAGAAAATTAAAATGTTGTAACTATTTTATATTCAGGGATCCTTCATAATGTAACTTATAGCTGGACCTAAATTTCAAGTTGAAGAGTATTCAAAATTTGAGTAAGGTTTGCCACATTTTAGCTGTAAGTGCGTCACGAGTGAGACTCGTCAAAGTAGGGGTTAAGAATAAGCACTGAAAGACAAATTTTTTGTATTCTGCGATGTTAGATAATGTATGTTTATTATTCAATTAGTATTTAAAGTAGTAGCTAAAAAAATAAAAGTTTTTATTATACTCAAATGGATTTGCCTCATTTCCAAAAATAATGAATTATTCTAATCGTTAATTAAACGAATAACTTTTCAGTTGTTCAGTTGTGTTCATGTTTTGATCTTTTTCTCCATTTTTTTTAACTACTCTGGTTCGAATTGTTTTCGTATTCATGTTCTGACTCTAAGATTCTTCATTTATTATCAATTCTAAAGGGTTTTACTAGAGTGACGTTATTATTCGGAAAAGTATTTTTATTTTTTTATTATTATCCATTAGTTTCATTTTCAGATGCCTTACAGTTACAATATCTGTTGGAACCATTCTAAGCCATATTTTGTTTTTATAAAAAATTCACAATTCATAAGTAGCCCTCAAATAATAGTGAAATTGCTAATGGGTTTTGTGTACTGATACTAAAACAAGAATCGTGTTGACTTCGTTAGGTATTTGTTAGAAATTAAATTAGAACTTGCAAGCTGATAATAGAAATCAACAATGACGCATAGAGACGGACATACAGATCCTCGCTCATATTACGGTTATGTCACCTATATTATACAATTCGTAATTTTTCACAGTATTTTCAGTATTACTAACAATTATTGGAGTTCAGTTGTACCGTAATGATATTCAGTTAAAAATAATTTGAACCTAAGGTGGACTTGCACCACTTTCAAAATAAACATCTATCCAATACCTATCCACTTCCGAACGGATCGGAAGTTTTTCTGTCTCAGAAAATACCGGTCGTCCAAATGTTAGTTGAAAATATTAGGTTGTCCGGAAAGTTCTTTTCGTTTTTTTAATAGGTGTTAAATTTGAAATATTTTGCGTTCAGTGTATTATTCTTAAGTAATATATAATCCGTTCTGTTCTACCACCCTTCTGCCATCTTTCTGGAAGCCTCATAATGCCACTTTTCCAAAATTCTCTTGGTTTACTGTTAAAATATTCTTCAAGACCGATTTTTATTTCATTAATTGATGTGAATTTTTTATTGCGAAGAAAATTTTTTAGGGAAAGTAACAAATAATAATCCGATTACGCAATTTCTGGAGAGTATGGGGGATGTGGTAGAACATCCCAATCGAAGTCTAAAAGTTTCTTTCGCACAGGTAAAGAAATGTGTGACCTCGCGTTGTTATGGTGGAACGCGACACCACGTCTATTCACCAATTCTGGACGATTTGTGAATATAGCTTCCCTAAGTTTTTCGAGTTGCATGCAATATTTCTCGTTGTTAATTGTTTCCCTTGGTTTTTCATCGAGGTAGGCCTTGATAAGGTCGGTATCAGTGGTGGATGGACGACCGCTGCGAACTTCATCTTTAAGATTGAAATTTCCGGCTTTAAACCTCCTAAACCAATTACGGACATTTTGAACAGTTATAGAATGATCCCCATAAACATCACAAATCTCCTTTGCGGTATTTCCAGGCGTAATGTCTCTTTTAAAACAGTAAAACATGACATGACGCAAATGCATCTTTTGATCTTCCATCTTTCACAACGCGAAAAATACGGGATTCAATTTCTACTGATGCTTAAAACACTCCTCTTGTAGTGCCAGAGAATGACACTGGACCAAACAATTGATTTTGGAGTGATCTGGATGTTTGTTTACTTAAGCACAACAATGTAAAGCCTCGAGCGACAAACGCGAAAAGAACTTTCCGGTCAACCTAATAGTTGAAATGAACCTTTCAACTATTATTTCATTACAGATTGCTTAAAGATGAAAATATATTAAGTTTTATCTATAATTATCGTCACTTTCATTTTCTTCAAAAATGTACTTATCAGTCAAATAATAGTTTCGTTTTAAACATAGCCACTTTTTAATAATATACAAAAATTTTCAATAAGCTATTGATCATCCAATGCCGGTTCCTTGAAATTTCTAAGTAATTCAGTTTCCTAAGTGGAGTATTTACTCACAGGTTATTAACTGTGACGCATGATTTATTTGCTGCGTTAGACAGAACTAATTACTCATTGCTACAATGTTGAATCAAGTACAGAAAGTTTAAATATTAGACCTATTTTATATACGGTCCTTGATGTAGACGGTCCTTGACTGCGTAAATTATAATTGGACTTGAACTTACAATTGAAGCGCTCTAAAAATGTGAGGAAGATTTATTATACTTGAACTGTGAGTGCATCACAAATCTGGCTCGTCGTTGTACGAGTTAATGAAAATTATATTAGATCTGATGTCTCATTTATCGACCATTTTTTCATTATACAAATTAAGATTTATGTTTCCTTGTTACTTTATTGTTAATATGTTCCTTGTCGATTCTTGGGAATTATTATAAATAACTTGCTCTTAAGAAATTCATTCATATTTTAGAAAAATCTGCATATATTTATATAGGTATTTAATAATTGATCTTATGAAACATTTTAATTATATCTCCTAACAAATATCTTAATAAAAGAACAATCTTAGAAATAATAAAGAAAGTTAGGAATATACAGGAGAATATGTATTTCTTGCCTTGAATAAACTTTCTTACAAATATTTGGAGGAATATTCGAATTCAATTTTCTTGAAAATCAAACCTTATGTACGAAAATTTAATTCTATATTTTTTATTTATTCTTGCACGTAGGATCATCTTATTTTCTGTTTTACCATCAGCTGCCAATCGGTATGTCAAGTACAGTTATCCTTAAATAATTCCTCTGATTTGAAGCGAAATATGTATAAATTATTTGTTTTAGCTTTTTGCTAAGTCTTAGCTAATATGTCAGCTTTTGTCGGAAGGTGTAAGTATTTTATACGAATTAACAGGTCCGACTAAAGCGAGAACAATACTATAATATTAGTCGTAAGTCAGAAAAGTTTTGAACAAGAAGAAAATAAGAGTCAGGAAGTTTCTTTACCCTTGGGAAACGTGAATTTACGAGCTACGAATACCACCAGCTGAGAGGTAGAGGATACCGATGTCTACCAAATATGGTCAGACTCGATACAAATTGACACACTTCCTTTTAAAGGCTTGCATTGATTGGGTGGCTTGGTGTGAATTCAAGGAAAGAGCTGGATTTACGATGACGAGTCATAAATCCAGCCCTTAAATGGGTACATCGAATTTAGAATAAAAGTAAGTGCTTGATATGGTTCGGAAGTAGCTTCCTTGAAAAATGAATATCAGATTTCCACATGAATAATGTTACCAAGAAATTTGGTAGAAAAATTATTTTTAATTTCATGGATATTTGCAAATTTAATATATAAAATTTCTGTATTTTGGAAGTTTGGTATTTTCAAATTACTAAATTCTGATTTTCTGAATTCGAAAATTTGCAAGTTGAAAAATTCAAAAACTTGATACTTGGATTTTTATATTTCTGAATTTCTAAATTTTCAGATAACCAAACTCTAACCCCTTAAATTAAAAAATTTGTAAACTTAAAGATTCCGATATTTGACAATTTGGATTATAATCTTATTGTATACATTTTCATCAAAAATTTAATTTAGACTAATTTTATTTAATTCAGCGAACTATGTACACTGCTATTTATATCCGCTCTAGAATATCACGTTATTGCAGTTTTAAACGAAATTTTCTGAAAAGGATATATAAATCTGAAATATTTTTCAAAATGATTTTACACAACCCTTGAATAATTGGCACAAAGGTGGTTAATAATTGATACATTTCACTGGAAATATTAACACTCAATTCGCTGGAATTATTATTCGATGCATATCGAAATACTGATATTACGTACATTACCGTTACAAAGGTTACAGAGAAGGGAAAAATATTCGTTCGTTGTCGACGTCATTTTGATTGACGGCCCTCATTAAAATGTCGCACAATTTCATCGACAAAATACGTCGAGGATTTTCAATTATCAGGGTCGATCATCCGGTTGCACTTTAACGAACGTGCTACCCGATAGTCAATTAACTTCGTTATCGAAACTGATTGCTCCTGTTTTTTTGTTTGTTTTTAGGTTTATAGATAAATTGTTCGCTGAAATGCTGTCAGACGTTAAGGAAGGAAGGGTAGGAAGAGCGTATCTGGATATGAGATCACTCGACATCCGGTTGCCTGGATGCACAGAATGATCTGTCAATGGGAAGTGCGTTATCACAGTACGCGTGGTATGTCATCCTCCCTTTTTCCATTCTTCTCCCTCTTTCGTGTCTGTTCTACACATGCTTTTAATGGGACGACCTAATTTTGCGAAAATACATGAGGAAAGATAAATTCTACTGAACGACGATTGAAATCGTTCGTCTGATTAAAGCAATAAGCCTGGTTATGAAGATCGAGATGCCTTGCGAAACTATGGGGTAAGAACATCAAAGTAATGAGTATAGTAATTTCGTGAAGCACAGTATCTAAATGCTGGTCGAAATCATAAGTGACTGTTACGAATAATACTACTGTCTTTTCCTTTTCAGAATCCCGATTATAATACCGTGAGAAGAAATTTTGCAATTTTATATACGCAAAGAATTATTGTAATTTTTATAGAAAATTATGTTGGTATGTTGTACAGAAATATTACTTCATATATATTACTAATTAAATTATAAGTAAATTACATCGTTTTTTTACTAATAAGTTCATAAGTGGTTGTAGTTCATAAGATCATTTATTTTTTTTTAAACTACTAATATTAATTATTAATTATGGATTTTTTGAACTAATAAGATCCTTTTTAAAGATCAGTATTTTTTCTATTATAGTTAGGTGATTACAAAATTCGGGTTTGAATGCAATTATAATTTTATTACTAAATTTTTATCAATTTCTTCTAACATTTCAACAAATGTTTTTTAATTCCTGAAGTACTGAATACTTTTATTTTTTATACAAATTCACTACTTCAGAATTTCCTATATACTTGGATATTTCTACCCTTCGATCTTGTGATTGTAATCCTTAACCCATGTGTTATCTTTGCACTGCGGTGAATAGTGGTATTATCTTGTTAAAATATGAGTGATATTTCACCGTTTTCTTAAAGATAAGAGAGAAAATGTAATTATGTGGAATTAGAAGTTTTTCAGATGTATTGAAAACTCTCTATCATATTCTGATAACTGTATGTAATAATTACCAACTATTTATTGAATTTTATTAAAAATAAGGTAAAACATTGGACAAAATCTTAAACTGTTTATGTTAAAAGTACTTTCCTTCTCATTTGATTGTTGATTGATAATAAATAGATGTAATTACAGATATTCATATCATTAATTTTATATAAAAGATCTGTATAGATTCTTAACAGGAAACGATTAATTAACAGATGAATCATAAAAAAACATTCATTTTCATTTATATAACTGTAAGATATGGTGATCAGTAAAGGGGACGTTAAACCAAATGAAATTTTATTAATAATTATTTGTAAATATTCAAAGTTGTGCTTGGAAATTGATTTATATTGAAATGTGCAGTAACTAACAATCAATGAGCAATAACTCACAATAAATGTCTAAATTCTGAACTACATTTTAAAATTTAAAAGTTTATTTGGAAATTTGAAAGTTTTAAGTTTTTATATTTCTAAAATTTCTACTTTTTTAAATTGTCAAATTCTGAACTTATGAATTCCAAATAATTTTATGATTCCAAGTTTAAAAACTCAAAAATTCTCAATTTGAAACTTTTATACTGCTGAATTTCTACATTTTCGCAGTGTCATATTCTGATCATTTAAATTAAAAAATTTGAGTTCTTAAAATTTAGAAGTTTGGCAGTTTGAAATTTTTTTACTTCTAATTTCCATATTTTTAAATTGTTAAATTCTGAACTTCTAAATTTAGCAATTTGGAAAATTCCTATAGTTCTGAATTTCTGTAATTTCTTATAGCAACTATTTTGTAACATAGTTTATTGTTTTGTTTCCAAAATTTGGAAAGTTTATTGTTCTGAAATTCTACAGTCCGAAATTTTCAAAGTTCAAAATAGTAAAATACAAAAATTGAAAAATTTTCATTAAATTTAAAATTAAAAATTTAAAACTTCAATAAAAATGTAGAGCAGGTCGAATATAACATCAGAAGAAAATAGAACTACAGAATGATACATTTACAAAAGTCAAATGATTGTGACCGCAACAGGTATATTCTACAGCTATCTGATACAAGAAACTTTTAGAAAGAAACGCGTTCACACAGAATGCGAACAGAATGATTCGCAAGAAGATCGATCGAAAATCAGGGTAATCTTTTTCAATTCATATTCGACCCATTGTTGATTTGCCGGTACATTTCGTGGAGCGATAAGAGACATCGAATGTTGATAACAGCCATGGAACGGATACACGCGACGAAGACCTACGCGCTCGTTCGTCCTCCCATATCGCAGAATGCGGGGGTGAGAAGCGTTTCCGGTCCACCATCGTCTACGTATCACTTTAATCTAATACCTCGCACTTTATGACTATATTTTTAACGTAAAAAACTCGTAAGGAAACCATCTGAAATGTCCTTCCAGAACATTTGCAAGTTGATAAGAGTTATTACTTTGAGGCTTCAAATAATCGAAACATTTTTGTTCATTTTAAATAATATCCTTATAGTAGTAGAGCCAAATAAAATTGGCATCAATGAGAAAATTAATTTGTTAAATGAATTTATAACTAGTCCAATGAAACGCCGTCAGGTAACTCATAGTAACTTAAACTAAAAATTAAAGAAAAAAATTTATCGATGAGTAAGTTTTATTGAATTACTCTACATCCAGGAAAATAAAATAAAGTAAAATAAATTAGTGTCAATGAGAAAATTAATTTGTAAAGTAAGTCTATAGCTGGTCCAGCGAAACACTGTCAGGTAACTTATAGTAGCTTAGATTGCAATGTAAAGAAAACAATATATCGATGAATAAGTTTTATAAAATTATTTTTTAAATTCTGAGCAATAAAATTGAATAAAATACAATTGATGCCAATAAAAGAATAAAAGAATATTAATTTGCAAAGCGAGTTTACAGTTAATTATGTGAATTATTGCTAAGCGATGTGCAGTGGCTAAGATTATAAAGAATAAAAAATTATTTATCGTTGAATAACAAACCTTAAAATCGTCCATGGACATTAGTAAGATAGAAATTACTGAATATAGCTATTTGCAACTGTTGTCATGGTTTGTTGAAGTAATGCAATTTTTGGTCAAGGTTGTAGATGGAAATTATTTCAATTTGCATATTTATATGAAGAATAGAGAACTCTCGATAATACTAAATATTTGAAAACCCTGCAGAAAGTTCTGAAAGAAGGAAGAATCCAGCTAATCGTCATTTAAAAAAACGACAGTGTAATGTAGACAATGTAAACGGCAATAAATTCGAAATTTGTATCTTCATACTCAAAATATTGCACAAAATAAAGTACAGCTCTTAAACACATTTTTCTTAAATTACTTCATAACTTAAGCAATTTATATTGGCTTGAAAATTTCATTGTAGATTCTCTAAAGGGCATTATTTATTTATCATTGAAGTCAAGATAGTGAAAGTTATAGATGCATTTTAGGTTGAAAAGTTGACCTAATCTCTTTAGAACTTTCACATATGCTTGCTAAGGCTTAAATGGTTAGTAACTTCAAAAACATTTAATATCAAAGTTTTATTAGAATGTATTTTTTCTATTGCAAGACAAACTTTTGAGAGAATTGTAGTTATTCATAGTTGGTTATTAGAAAGCTATGAAGTTCATTTTTTAGCGCACGAGTTTAAATTTTCGATGATCAATTTCAATCTTTTATTGTTCTAAATTGTGTAATCATTTCATAAATTGTCTATAGCATTTTGTAATCAGTTTACAAATATTAACGACTGTCAACAAATATTATAAATTAATAAATGTCATTATTAATATTATTTCAGGTCATTTTACGTGTCGTGAACAAATTTTTATGGAAATTCTTTAAAACTATTCCGATTCAACTATTTTATTCTATTAAAAATAAAAATGAACAATATTTGTTATAGATTTTTGACCTACTTTTTTATGGAAATTTATCTACTTTTCGGTTGTACAACTTTTATGGAAACATTTTGTATAATTACATTTTATTACAAAATTTAAGGCAATGGAAGAATTTGTACACGTTATAATATTATCGAATCTTACTGGTATTTTGTTCATTTCTTATGGAATTTGTATTCCAGAAACGTCTCTTATGAAGTACAACTATGAATTTACTCACAACGCATTATACAATAATTTACGCAGACAATTATATAATTAAAATATTAAAATTCATCGTCAGAGTTTTGAACTCACACACAGAAATTATATTCTCGAAGTTTTCTTATAGTCATTTGTTCACACTATTCTGTCGTTAAAAGCTATACTTTACAACAGCAAAAATAAATAATACAAAAACCTACAAATTAAACATCTTTTAAATCATTGATCGTTAACTCTAAAATCATAAATAGTTTCACATCATATCTATAAGTATTCGTAATAACACTTTTAATCAACTTGCAAACGTTTCTTAAAATATGTGGAGAACACTTGTGCTTTTTTGTCAGTAAACACCATATTTCACCGAATTTATCAATGATTCACAAGAAGAAGAGAAAGTGGAATAAATCTGACAGAACAGTACTAGTAAATAAAATAGGTACTTGCCTAGGACCCGCTAAAAAGAAGCATTTGCACGGAATTGTGAAAGAATGACCAAACCATAACGTAATGGTAATATTAGAACTGGATGTAGGCGTATTAAAATAATGTTTGTAATGTTTGGATGTGGGTGCATGTTTGACGACTATATCCATCGTGGAGATGTGGCAGAATTTTGAGTCATGATGACTATATCCGCCATGCGTAAAATTTTACTACAATTTGATATTTAAATTGTAATTTTCGCGAAAACTATATTATATTCGTAAATTGTAATATGTTTAAAATGTTTAGAGGTTATCAAGAAATGAAATAAACAAATAAAAACTGTAAATGATTTGAGATGGATTCATAAATTCTTGAGAGCTAACTTGTCAATGCTTGATTATCGCGACACATACTGGTGCGCGCTTTGCAAAAAGATCGTCACAGTTAACTGGTTAAAATAAAAAGAGAGTGTGTGCTCTGGAAGTCTGTGCTACAATTGCCCTGTTTTCGCCAAGACGGTTACAACAAGAATGCCCCGAAAAGAACATTTCTAGTCTTACAATAGGACCCCCTTCGCCAGCATAACCTGCAATGTGTTTATTGTCCTAACGTCTTCAAGAACCACACACAACACGTCAATGGCCTACGTTCTTTCCAATTTTCCCAATTGCCAATTTTGAAATTCCTTAAAATCACTCAACTTTATTTTATTTTAACTAGTCAATTCATTTAACTCTTTGCAGCCAGTAAAATTCCTGTATTTTTAAACATTTCGATCGCAAAGAGTATGAAGCATTGAGTAACTAGGACCCAATCTTCTTTCATGAATCTGACAAAAACATATGACAGAACCGCCGGGTAGATACGAAAAAAATTGTCATTCACAGTTTCTTGCGAGTCGAATTCGCGATGCAAAGCGTAAG